CCCCCCCTCCCTGCTGTCACCTCACATAGCGGTGGGGACACCCCCCCACATCCCTGCCCCCCAGGGCTGCAGGCGAGGCACCCACCCCGTGGTTGTTCATGGTGTTGGGTCTGCCCTTGGGCAGGTCCGACTGCTCGAAGTGCGCCAGCTCGGCCAGCAGCGCGCTGCAGAAGGCCAGGGTGAACACGGGGATCCGGTAGATCCGCTTCTCCTCTGCGGGTCGGGGGAGGCAGGAGATGGGGGGCTCCGGGCTGGGGTCTCACCTGCCCTCAGTCCCTCAGAGCTTCCCCAGCCTTGCCTCTCTCGTCTGCACGGGGGGCAGCGAGGGCACTCCCCACTCGGGGCCGTGGTGGTGGGTAATAAAGGGCCATTTTTACAGTGGTCAGCGGGAACCTCACAGATGGGCCTGTGGCCCTTGTTCAGCCCCAGCGCTGCCCACCTGCCCGCAAGGCCAGTCAGCTTCAGAGCTGCCAGCGGCAGAGCTGAGCGTAGGCCCCGGGCCCTGCGCTCGGGGAAGGGAGAGGGCCAGCCTGGCTCTCCCCATCAATGCTCTGATGCAGAAGTGTCCCCAGTCCCCACACAGGAAGGCTGGGGGGGGTGTCTCTCCTGCTGGGCCTGTGGGGAGCAGCCCTGCTGAGAAGGGTAACGGAGGCAGTCCTTGCTATATGCAGAAAAGTATCAGTCTCGTGACCCTTCTCACAGCCCAGCCTCAGCCTCCACAGTGTAGACTGGATGGCAGGAAGGAAGTGCCCAGGCTGGGGGGGTTATTTTGCTCCCTCCTCCATCCTTTCACCCCACAGCACCCCCAGATTTACAGGCAGTGGCAGGGAGGCTCAGGGACACTTCCTTGGTGCACGCTGGCTGGTGGCGCATGCCTGTGTGTGAGAGCATCTTCACACCCTCAGACCAGGGATTCGGAGTCCCCGGACAGGAGCCCTGGTGGCACAGTGGGCTACACTTGGAAAGGTCAGAGGTTCGAGCACACGAGTGGCTGGGTGAGAAGGACGGGGTCATGTGCTTCTGTGAAGATTACAGCCTGGAAGCACTAAATGGCAGCTGACAAGCCTATCAGTTAGGAGTCCTGGCAGGAGGTGAGGCAGGGACATTAGATCATTTTCTACTTTGGGGGGGTCCTACAGGGGTGGGGCCAGTGCAATGGGTCCCCGATCCTCCCACACACCCCTGCACTACACAGTCTTACCCTCACTGCTGTCAGTCAGGGGCAATTACCAGTCTCTCTGGTGGTTTTCAGAGTCTGTCCAACTTTCTCCTGTGCAGCAGATTCGAACCACTCTCCTGTGGGTTTGCTGTGTAACTCCCTGTCCACTTGGCCACCAGAGCCCCCTACACTGCTTTACTCGCCTCTGTTAGCACCGGCAAAGGCAGCAGGAGGCTGTTTCATACTGGTCTGCAAACCCTGCGTGCCTCCTGGAGGGGTCACTACCCACATGCTCCTGTGTGCCCTGCCAGTCTAGCCCCAGACGACTGACTCTTGGGGGGATAAAGGCGAGGGGTAGAGGGCCCCCCTCACCTGACAGCGTCTCCAGCTGCTGAAGGAGCCCCTCACGGTGTGCGCCCGGGGATGCACTGTACTCGACCGCGGCCCGGAACTCGGGGGCCAGAGCCGCATCCTGGGGGCAGAGTATGCTGCTCTGGGGAGACGGCCCTCCAGCCTGGGGCCAAGCTGCCCCCCCAGAGCCTGCAGGCTGGGTACCTGCAGTGTGATGTAGACCTCAGGCCGCGCCGGCCGGTACGAGCTGGCGATGAGCGCTTTCCTGGCGGCGGAGTCCTGTGCCAGCTGCTGCCTCCGCTGCACCTCCTGCTCCAGCTGTGGGGGCACCGGGCCCTGTCACTGGACCAGGCGCCCAGTGTCCCCAACACCTCCATCCAGGACCCATCCCAGGGGATCCCCAAGGAGACCTTGTGTCCAGTGGTTAAACACACAGCTTCGAGCCAAGTCAGTGGTTCACACACCACAGCTGCTGGTGCCTCCAAGTGCCCATGCTTAGATTAGCAATCCAGCGCTTAACCCACCGTTCCACCAGGGCTCGGGGAAGACGTGGCAGTCTGATCTTTAAAGGTTTACAGGCTGTAGGGCAATTCTGCCGTCCCAAGGGGTGACTATGTGTCAGAATTTGATGGTCACAAGGAATCTTTCATGGAAACAGAAAGTTAGGTCTCCTCTCCCTGCCTGGGGGGGATTCAAACTGTCAGCCTTTGGATTAGCAGCCCAATGCTTCACCACTGTACCACCAATGAGGGGGAGGGTAGGAGACCTTAAGGGACCTGGGACTGGCAGGCCTCTTACTGCCAACACTAACCTACAAAGGGTGGGCAGGCCGGGGGTGTCCAGGGTGTTACCTCTGTGAACAGCTGCTGGAAGTCCTCGGGGCTGACACAGCCTTTGCTGCGCAGTATCTGAGAGCAGAAAGGCCAGTGAGTGGGGATTAGGGTTAAAACTCCCACATACCATGTGACCCTGAGCCTCAGTTTTGTTTGCCGTTGTTATGTGCCGTCGAGTCACCTGCGATTCATGGTGACCCTGAGTACAACGGCCCTGAACCCTGCTCTATCCTGAGCCAACTTTATCATCTCTGACACACCCACCCCCAATACCCCAGTCATTGAGTCAATCCGTTAAAAGTCTTCCTCTCAGGAGCTCTGGTGGCCTAGTGGCAAGAAGCTGCACAGCAATCCCAAAGTCATGTGGTTCAAATCCACCAGATTCTCCGCCGGAGAAGGAGGGGCTACTTCCTCCTGTCCCAGTCAGATCAATTTCAATGGTACACAACAACAACAACAAAAGTTAAATACTGAAAGAAATAAATAAAGCATAATTAAAAAAATTAAAAAAAAAGTCTTCCTCTCTTTCTCTGTCCCTCCACTCTCCCAAGCATAATGTCCCTCTCCAAGGACTGGTCCTTCCTTGCAACATGCCCCAAGAATATCAGACGAAGCTTCAGAATCCTTGCCTCCAAAGGAGCAGCCTCAGTTTACCTTTCCAAAATTGGGCATATGAGAGCAAACCCCAAACTTAACGAGATCCTGTCTGTGCCAAGCAGTTATAAGTATGTTCATTAACTGACCCGCCACAAACACCTTCTCAGCAAACCCAGCCCCTTGTCTTCCAATCCATTCCGTCTCTGCATCCCTGAAAGGTCAGTGGTGGAACCTCTGAGTGGCTCCTCGGGGGGAAGATGAGGCACTCACTCTGCCTTCCTAAGATTTAGGGGCTCAGAAACCCCAAGGGGAAGATCTACTGTGTGCAACACGATGAATTGCAATCAATCCGAGGGACGGACAGACTGTCGTATCTTCCCCCAGATGGGCTCGAACGGCCGCCCTTTCAGTTGGCAGCGGAGCGCAGAACCACCGCTCCATCAGAGCTCCACGCCACCTGGAGGAAGCACCACCTCGATCGCAGCGCGCGCTCCAGGTAGAGAGGCGAAGGGATTCGAGCAGTGGACCCAGGTCCCCCGTGGCCGCCCGCGGCCCCCCACTCACCTGGCCGTAGTCCCGGCGCACCTGCTGCTCGTCCCGGAAGCGCAGGTGCAGCCCGTAGCGCGCCACGTACAAGTTCTCGGAGCAGAAGCAGGCGCAGCGGCAGAAGCGCCGCGGGACCCGCGCCGTCGCCATGGTGAGAAGCCCACGCCGCCCGGCCGGCTTCCGGCCCGCCACTTCCGGCCACGCCCCCTGACCCTCCCCTCCCGGGGCGGCCCGGGGTCCGCTCCAAATTCCCAAGTGCAGGAAAGAGCACAGTCTGTGTTGGAGAAGGCGGCTCCCGGCCGTGGAGGGTCACGCCGCCGTCTCGTTCCGCCTCAGCTTCCCCGCGAGGCGGACAGCAATAAGCCCGCTGTGCAGACAGGTAGACTGTCACAGTCGCAGGACGTGGAGACGTCCGCCTCTCTGTGCGTGAAGCTTCTGGAGAACCAGCCTCGGGGCGTGCGACTTGCTCCCTCCCGCCTCCCTAAGAGCCTCTGGCGTGTTCGGCTGAGCGTGGATTCGGCATTTGCTCCCGGTCCCTGCTCAGCGCTGCCTGTGCCGCGGCCGCATCTTCCCCGGCGTCCCGGCTGACTGGCCCTGTGAGTGTCCCCGCAAACACCGTCCCCCGGGGTGACCGGCCCTGTGAGTGTCCCCGCAAACACCGTCCCCCGGGGTGACCGGCCCTGTGAGTGTCCCCGCAAACACCGTCCCCCGGGGTGACCGGCCCTGTGAGTGTCCCCGCAAAGACCTTCCCCCGGGGTGACTGTCTGCGGTGTGGGCGGGGCCGACTATGGGCGGGGTCTGTTTGTAGCCACGCCCCGGGCCCCTTCTGGTTTATGGTCTTTGTAGCTGAGGTTCCTTTGAGCTGTGGTGTTGGAGAAGAGTATTGACTATACCATGGACTGCTAGGAAAACAAAGAGGTTTGTCCTGGAGAGGGTGAAGCCAGGCTGCTCCTTGGAGTCAAGTATTCTGAAGCTTCATCTGACATCCTTTGGACATGTTGCAAGGAGGGACCGGTCCTTGGAGAGGGACGTCATGCTTGGGAGGTTGGAGGGACAGCGCAGGAGAGGAAGACCCTCGATGAGGTGGATTGATTCAGTGACTGGGGTAATGAGGGTAGGTGTATCGAAGATGGTGAGATTGGCACAGGATAGGGCAGAGTTCAGGGCTGTTGTACATAAGGTCGCTATGAGTTGCAAGCGACTCGATGGCACATAACAACAACATCTGAGATTCCAGGGCGCGGCCGCAAACCTTTCGGTGATATGCACCCCAAACCCGTTGTGCAAAGCTATGCGAAGACACTGAGTTAGTGGCTCTGATATTCAGATAGCGAAATGGCATATCCACAAGGCAGGAGGCTCTGTCCTGCCCTTCTGACGTCAAGTTGTTGTGATTCAGCATCACGCGGGCATGGAGGAGAGGACGGCTAGTTACCAGCAGGTCTGTACAACAGGACAAAAGTGTCGGTGCCACGTAGGTGTTCCAGTCCATTGTTGCCGTGCCTGCATTTGAGAGCTTCTCACCTGGGGGCTCATCTGTCAGGGTTATAGTGGATAATAATATCATCTATAGAGTGTTCGTGTGCTGATTTTCAAAAGTAGATCGCCAGGCCTTTCTTCCTGGTTTTAGTCAGGAACCTCTCCTGAAACTTGTCCACATTGGATGACCCTGCTAGTATTTCAAATACCAGGGACCCAGCTTCCAGAATAACAGAAACATGCAGGCTACCACAATAGGACCAACCCATACCCCACAGGATAGCTGGATGTGATCCCAGCTGGTATCTCTTCTTCACTGCACCTCCTTTCTGCTGAAGGTCGCTTAGACTAGCAGGTCTCCTGTCCACCCACCTTGCCCCTAAGAGCTCGGTGCTCTTAGCCCCAGGGAGGGGCTGTCCAGCCAGGACAGGAGTTCTCAGTCAGGGGATCACAAGGGGTTTGACCTTTTCTCTCTGTGTCCCCCCCTGGACACACCACAGGAGCTCATGTTCACACACACACACACACACACACACACACACAGTCATACACACTGACATGGTATGAAGCACACACCTCCCCTCACAGCCTCACTTGTGCACTCACCATGCCTCCACACATCCCACGCATGGTCCACATCCTTTCCTCGCTAGGTCAGCTTGCCCTCCCAGGCCCACTCACTACTCCCATGGGAGTCTCAGGACCCTAGAAGGAAGATGGGAGAGTCCTGTGTGGGCATCCCCCCACAGCTGATCCGAGGTTCAGTACTACCACCTTCCTACTTCTCCCCAGCACCTGGGAGGGTGGGCTGGTCCCAGGGGGAGCCCAAGCCGACGATGGGTCAGGCAGGTCAGTGAAGCCTTTCTGGGGTGTCAGGTACATGCGGGTGCAGGGAGGTGTGTGTGTGTGTGGTCAGTTCCAAGAAGCCGATAAGTCTTGGCCCTTCTGAAGTCCTGAGGAGACTGGAGTGGGCAGGGCGAGCAGCAGGCAGTGATTTCCTCTCCCGGTGAGGTCTTCATGGCACACCAGGTGAGGACGTGGTGTGGGCCTGGAGGTGGCTGCCCCTACAGGGGCAGGACGGGGCTTCGGGGGCAGTGACATTTGAGCTGCGATCTAGCTGTTGCAGTTGGTGTGACAGGAGGTATTTGTTACAGAATGGGAGGCGGTGGTGTGGGGAGGACACCTGGTGTCCAGGGCGCTGGGTGGGAATGAGTTCAAGGTGCCTCAAGTGTGATAAAGAGAGTCCAGGAAATGAGGGATCCAGTCAGCAGGCCCCACAGATTATGGCCAGTGTTCCAAGTTTGGCACTTAACACACAGAGAAACTGTCTAACCACCAGGGAAATACTGTGTGGTGAGAAGCATCCCACTTTACAGGTGAGGAAACTGAGGACAGGGCAGGTGAATGTCTTGCCCAAGATCACAAGCTTTGAGTCTAAGCCTGAGTCCTCAAGGTCATTTCCAGAGGTGTAGCTGGGAAGGCCTCGGGTCGGGGACAGCCGGGCTGGGGTGTTTAAAGTTTTATAGGACGTCTTGATTGCCCAGCGATAGTGGAGAGCTGGCCATCTGGAAAGGATCCACGTCCTCAGCTCACAGAGCTCACACTCCCCGTAACTGCCTTTCTTCCCAGCCAGCCTCCGCCAAGTGTGGCACGCGCCACCCCCGCCCGTTCACCTGCTCAGATTTCTCCTTTGGCAGCAGCTTCCGAGATGAGCACCTTTGCCTCTCAGATGAGCCCGTCCCTCGCCTGGCCCCTCCACTCCTTAGAGATAGTGTCCCCACTCCCAGCCTGGGCTGCCCTGCCTCACCCCGTCATCAAAGGGACCGAATGCAAGTTGTTATCACGCGCTGTCAAGTATGACTCGCTCACAGGGACCCTGTGAACAGCGGCTCTGACCCTGCCCCGTCCTGTGCCGAACCATCCTCATCCTCGCTAGCATCCTCGAGGCTGCCAGGCCAGGGGCAAGCAGCATTGAGCTGGCCACTCCACGTGTCACTGTGCCCATTTCACAGAAGAGGAAAGCAAGGTTTACTGAGGGCCGAGGCCTGTTGAGGACTCGACGCCTAGCGAGCAGCAGAGCCAGAATTAGAACCTCCATCTGCCCAACTCCAGAGTGGGACGTGTGTGATCATAATAGTAAAAAAACCGGAAATCATCTACAATGCTCGTCAACTGATGAATGAATAAAACAAGCTTTAGCTCTGCCACCGGCTCCCCTGCCACTGAGTCGGTTCCATTCGCGACACAGCGACCCTAGAGGGCAGAGCGGAGGGCTTCTGAGTCTGGTGAATCTTCAAGGCAGGCCTCTGGGGTCATACCGCTGACCTTTGGTTAGCAGCCCAAAGCTTAACCTGATTTACCACCAGCGCTCGCTCTGTGGCTCCAGCAGAACATCACGCAGGAGTAAAATAGAACATGATCTTCCTCTACCACACGGTACAGCATGCCTGGGCCTCGAACGTGTGACGCTGAGGGCTAGAAGCCAGTCCCAGGAGGCCAGAGGTGTGTGATTCCATTTATACAGCATGTCCAGAGCAGGCAAGTCCACAGAGACAGCACGCAGGCCGTCAGGGGCTGGGATGGGGGAGCCTGGGGAGGGAATGATGCTGGCACAACGTTCCCTTTGAAGGCGATGAAAAGATTCTGGAATTAGATACTGGTGGCATTTACGCTATGCATGTTTTAATGAGCGATTGTAACACAAATGACATGCAAATGAGTAGCACCTCAGTTTTCTTATTAATTTTTTAATTGTGATGTGAGTGGAAGTCTGTGGAGCAGCTTCACTTTCCCTTCAGCCATTCGTACGTATATTGTTCTCTGACAGCAGTTACAACGCCCACGTTTTAACAGCACTCTTCCTGCTTCCTGTCTGTGATGTGTCTTCCCTCATCCTATCCCGCCCCTTCCTGACTTCTGAGCTTTCTCCCCGCACACATGCTGCCCTTTTGATCGGGCCTGGAGGATGGTTCTGAGGGCTGAGTGCTGGTGTGATTGTCAACCCCCCTGGGTCTGGGTCCTGTTTCGCTCCAAGGGTCCCTCAGGACCATTGTCTCGAGACCTCCACCAGGAAGCCTAGCCTGCTGCGGTTGGGAATTTTATTGCACATTTTCCACCCACTCTGTCCGGACCTACACTGGTCCCTTTCAGAGTGGTCAGTGTCATTGTCAGACACCATCCATTTATTCTGACCTCAGGGTTCAGTTGTTAAGAATATATATGTCCTCACCTTTCCAGAGGGCACATTGGTAGCTTAGTGGTAGGAAGCTGTGCTGCAATCCCAAAGGCACACGGTTTGAATCCACCAGCTTCTCTGCAGGGGAAAGATGGACAGTCTCCTCCTGTGTGATTTACTGTCTCTGAAAACCCACTGGAGGGTCGTCTATAAGTCTGTTCCGACTCGACAGTACTCACCAGTAATACTTTTGCAGAGAAGATGAGGAGGGTCTGTAATGGTTGCTGCAGAAGATCAGAGACTGCAGCCTTTAATATGGATTACATCTCAACATCAAGAAGACAGAGGTCCTCTGGGCCAACAGGCATCATCAGGAGAGAAGGTGAAAAGATTGACGCTGTCAATGATTTCATCTTGCTTGGACCCACAGTCAACACCCTTGGTACTGGGAGTCAGGAGATCAGTAAACATAATCCTTTGGACAAGTCCATTACCA